CGCAACACCAGCAACACGGGCCGCCCGCGTTCACATGCAGCAAACGAATTGCTACGACTTGCCATCATCATCATGAAATTTTATTTTTCTTACAGTATTTAGACACACAGTTATATCCTAAAAACATGTTTTTATATCTTTAAATTTGGCTGAGAATACTTACTCGTCTTTTTGAAACAGTTTATTTTCAAAAATGATCCATTTCAAACCTGAACTAAGTCCTCAGTTCTCATCATCGCGACCACAGGGGTGTCACGTGAAAATATTGCATTCCTGATTGGCTGCTGCCGCTTCAAACATCTCCGAGTAGTCAGAGTTGCTCGTCCGCTTCGAGCCGGACCCAATCTCAGCAATTTGTGTCGATGTAGGGAAAACTAGGGAACAACCCGCCAGCAGCCCCAAAATTGCTGGAAAGGTTGCCCCGTCTGAAGCGATCCTATACTCTGTTTCATACATAGAGTGCAACACAGTCAAAGCTAGCGCACCGGTTTGCATTGCTGACCGTGCCTACGTTCGCCCCATAAGATAGCGCGTCCCCTGCAGAAAAATTTTAAAAAGTCGGAAAATGTGCCTCCTCGGGGCTAGTAACTGATATTGGCGTTATGATTTCAACGGAGCACAAATGTTTTTCAAGAAAAAGGAAAAGATAATGTAAACCACCTTAAATTGTTTTCGTGTTCATCTGTGTGGCAGCCGCTGATTTTGAGAAGATGGCGTCTTACGCAGCAAGCTCAAGTACCTTTCCTGCTCGGATGTTTTCGAAGATTCGTTGTGCGAAAATCTTGAAAGAGTGCAAGCAGATGATCACCAATGTGTACGGGAGTGTAAGAACACATTCCCCGGAGAATTCGGTCGTGAAGTCCTGGAGACGGCCAGTAACAACACTGGAGTGTGCCCTGTACTGTCGCGAAGTGCAAGGCACAGTGCCTATCTGGCAAGGTGGCGTCCCCGTAGCAAAGACCTCGCAGCAAGAAAGTTTCGAGCACGGGGACCGTCAAGCATGACGAGTTCACACAGAACGCCATTCGCCTGAAGGTGCATTGCAAGTGCTCCGAGAGGGAGATTCCTACCCTTGACAGCTATTTCAAAATAAACTGTACAGGCCACAACTATTGTCGTTAATGTTTTATTATAAATTTTGGGACAAGGCCGCTATCAGGGCGATTCCTCATTCCACGCTGCACGAAAGAAAAATATAACTCTGTGCTGGAGGCAAATAACACTTGCAAAGCGGCAGACCAGATGGTAGAAATCTGGCCTCTCGGCGACTTACAAATAAAAATCAAGAAGGAGGAACTGAAATATGCACTTCGTCAATGCGCACAATCTTGCAGAAAAAAAATGTCTAAAAAAGAAAAAAAAAAAATCTTTGCGCGTAAAATGGGTTTGAACCACGGCCACCGAGACGTCAATATCGCCAGAGCAGCGCCTTCTACCACTCGTCCACGAAACGCGCGGAGTAACACTTTTTCTATTTTTTCATGCGCACCACTTTAGTACCTTTGACAGCGTTGCACGCTGAGTATGAAACAGAGTATAAGACACCCTATTGTCTGGTACAGAGACCATTTATGAACGCTTGGGTGTTTAAACGATGTACTACACATTTTACAAAAAGAAAAAAAAAATTGGGTGTTTAAACGTTGTACTACCCTTTTTTCAATAGAAAAAACCAACAATAAAAAAAATAACACATTTCAGAAGAAAAAGTTGAGGAAACGGAATGTACCATTATGTTCAGTGAAGTTTGGTGACAAGACTCGGGACTCGAGCAGGAATGCAGTCATCCTTGGTGTGACCCCATGAGACGGTCTTGCTGCCTTTACTGGGGTTTATCTAACTGAGGTACCTGTACGAAAAGTAGAACACATGTGCATAACACTCATTATTCACAAGAAAATTTGTCAATGTCCAAAATGACCCATGAAGAAAATTATGCGAGGAATTTTCAGGCTGCGTTGGCCGAGTCACCTCTCGTGGCCAATGTTTCATAGCAACTTTAATTGTTGTGAACAGTTATAGCGTATATTACGAACAAAGTGCAATTTGGTTTTGTAGGAAACTATAACACACAAAACGACACTTGTATACAGTATGTTGAGGTGCCTCTAAACAAACTCCAGGGTTTCATGGCGCCTCCTTCAGATACCTGATGTTGAACATGAAATATGTGCACCAAGGAGTGAGCAAACAGCGACTTCAGATTTGTCTCTAACACCAGCGACATGTCGACAAGGAGTGCAACGTGTAGAAGGTCGTCTAGAAGTGTGCCAAGATGAAAAAGCAAGATGTAACGATATCAGAATAAGATCACACCAACCAGTGTGGTGAGACAATCTACGATGTAGAGACAGTAATCGGAAGTCAACCGACGTACGGCCGCGATTTACTTTGCAACGACTAAAATGAAACATAGCAAAAAAAAGTTTTTAAAAATAAAAAAACGCGTTTTTTTTTTTTTTTTTTTTTACTTTTATTTGTTGAGCGCAGCCGGTAGCAGAGCAGTTGGGCGGCGTCACGAAAATCTGACAGACTCGCTAGCTTTTCTCAACTTCGTACGGCGCCAGTCGGCACCACAGATGAATGGTCGGCACTCGTAGTCTACCAGGGAAGAAAAAAGTACGAGCTCAGAGCCCAGCGTCGCTCGCGACTTTCGTAAAGAGAAGCTCCGGTAACACTTCGGCGACTCGTGAGCGTTAAACAACGCCTCTTCGAACGAGCCCACGAATCCAACACGTCGAACGGTTTGCGCCGGTAAGCACGCTGGGAGCCAGGGGGCTGGAGGTTGAATATCCGAAAGAGACGAGGCGCTGGTTTCTACGTCTATTTCGCACATGAGATAACAAGCCGAGTGATAGCTAGCCGAGTGTAAACACTGACTGACGTTACATCAGAGTACACGCAGTCGAAATGACGTCTGCAACAGAGCACAGCCAGACGCTTTCAGCAGGGGACGCATGCGTTCAAATAAGCTGCGATTTCAAAACATCATGTCTCCCTTCTGTCCTTCAGTGTTCACTTTGATCTGTGTATACCAAAGCACTCAATGCTGCAAGTAATAAAGTCGTCTATACGTACCTTTCGAAGCGATTGAAAGTGCGTTGGTTTCACTTGGAACCCACAAGCAAAGTGTGCGACGAACTTGACGAGCTGTTATCCGTCGGTTCCGCCGGGTTGGCGCGGTCGCGGTCGTTGCGCAAGGGCGGCGCAACGCTTGTCTGGCAGCGCATGCGCGCAGGCGCGCCGGCTCGCCTCCCTTCGGAGTTCGAACTGCCTCCGAAGCTCGAGCGCTCGAGCTTTCGCGCGCGCGGGTTGACGATGGAAACTTTTCTCATAAAACGAGTCTGTAACGTATCGTTTGATGGCGCAAATGCACGTATTTTTCCCGTCGTTTTTTACAGTGTGTGAATCTTGCGAAACGGGCGACGAAGAGTGGTGGGTGAAATGTGCTCGCGTGTGGTTGTGGATTTTGTGTACGACGTAGGATTACCCAGAAAGGTGGGTCAATATCGATAAATGTGCGGGTAAGAAGCACGTGACCTGTCAAGCCCATTAATCCTCATTATTTTATCGTGCGAACTGACATTGTCACGTATCGCATTCGATTTGGGTTCCAACGTCGGTAACCTAACTTTTGTTGCATTAAAACTGCAATAAACATTTGTTTGAAAACGATCACTCCAACGCGCACGTCGTTATTGGGCTTTCTCATTGAAAGGTAGGTCGCGGGTGTCCCAGCTAGTTATTCTGAATGGTTTGGTGGTTGTCTAGCATTTCAAGCGCTCGAGGCTGTGTGTACTGTGTGCGTACGTACTCTTGCGCTTTCGATCAATGTGAATGTGTTTGCAACGCGGAACGTTTGTGTTCTGTGTGTATCCCCCTCCAATATCGTTCTCTCTCGTATTGCCGTATGGTAACTCCTGCTGTTCTACAATATCATTCACGCGATGTCGTATTGTGGGCGTACCGATATCCACATGTTTCTTCACGGGCGATCAATACTGTGTTACGTATCCTCTTAGTCCGCGGTATATGCCGACGTAATTCATGTTGGTAACTTGGAATTCGTTCTGAGATTTATCCACGCGATATTGTATTCTCCTTTGGGCCCGTGATCGACGACCGATATTTATATATCGTGTGGCCGCACAGTATGTCTATGTCGGTCACCAATATGCACGCGGTGTCGTATTCTATTCCAATAACCGTAAGTTCTGTCGGGATATTGTGCTTCGATATCGTGTTGTATACCAATAACCGCAAGTTATATCGGGATATTGTGCTCCAATATCCTGTTGTATACCAATAACCGCATACAATATCGGGATATTGTGCTCCGATATGAATTCCCGTCGTGCGTATTGGGTTAATCGGATAACAATAAGTTTTTATTGGTTTCCATCAACTTCATTGGAATACAATATTTCCAATAAGCCGAGTTCATATTGGCCTTTTTCAATAGGGATGTCAAGTTCGAAGCTTATTTTTGGAAATTTTAACAATTATTTGTGTCGAAATCTGCTTGGAGATGCTGCAATTCAGTAGAAAAGAAAATACTTATGATAACTCTGCTGGCTCAGCACTGTTATCGTCAGAAAGAAAGGGCGATGTTTTAACTATTCTGATCTTGATCTTCTTCCCCTTCTTATTATTTAATAAAGAGCAATTTGCCGAGTGTCCCAAGTAACTCACGAGAAGTATGGTATACTCCGGGAACCCGTCACAAAAGACAACGGTATGCCCTCCGCTCCTCCATCCCCTCCCCGCTCCCCCCTTTCCCTCTGTCGCGGAATAAGGTAGGCTTTTACGAATACAGGAACAGGGAAATAAATTCCTTGATAGGCATAAACCAGTTTTAAAAGTAAATACAGTTGATATGTCTCCACTGAGAGACGAAGTTTCTGCTCGATCTAGCGTAATAAGATAGTTTTAATGCAGTCTTCCCGACAAGCATCAGACCGGCTCCCACGCCCTAGAACAGCTCAAGGGCAAACACGAACGCCTTCATCGTCGTCCGGTAAACTTTGTTCCTTTTTGTCTGTTTGGGGAGCATCCAGGGCGATGGCTGAAATCTGAAAATAATAGTTTCAAAACTGTGTAAAATATTGACGTTCCAAGCAATGTCACGTATTGTTCACGTTGCCCGGAAGCCTCAAATACATGGCCGTCGTGCTGATTACCGAATACAACATTGCGACAATGATGCTCAAGCATCCGTATTGTAAGGAGGTGGGCAGTGCCGCTGCTCATGGTACATGCTCGACTCGTTTATTTTACATTCATTAAGCTACATGCGACAGGCTACCAATGAATTTAAAGAAAGAAACCAAGCTTACGCCAAGATAAAAAGGCAGGGTTGTCGACCTCAATTCACCCGGTGTTCTAGAGGCCTATCGAGATTGATTTAGTATGGTAAAAGCAGCACCGATTTCAAAGCCGTTACCCGTGATGTTCCTGAATTATAAAAAAAAAGTTTTGCGAAACGTCGGTTTTTTAATAAAACCCAAACAGAAGTGTACCATTGCCAAAAATAAAGCATAGCTTTCTCCTTTCCATTGTGTCTTAAGCGTGATACATTCTGTTGATCAACATAGTAAAACAATTTTACATATCCTCGAGTCTTTCTTAAGCCATAAAAGGGACACATGAACTCAAAAAAGGGTCCTATCATTTTTGAGTCCTAGACCGGGTTTCGAACCGCGGTACGACATTTACTGATTTTTCCTTTAGAGCTTAATTGTCTTAAGCGACTTTGAATACGGCTAACAAAAATCGCCGGCTGCATTTCACATCGAAGTCCTATTCGGTCTTTCCCACGTGAGTGTAAAGGTGGCGGCGCCAGTGAGCAAATAGCCCATGACCACTTCCGCTTTTAAGTTAGACGGCGGGTTTCGTAGTATTTGCGAAGTCAAATATATACACGCAATCTTCTGGAAATGGCCACTTATAGCCCTGTCAGACTTAATTCACTCCTATTATCAAAACACTGATGAGTAAAAAAATTAGGAAATATACGTGAACCCGAGGTGTGCCCGGGCTACTCAATAGTTGGCGCCACTGAGTTTGTTGCAAAACAAAAAAAGGGAAAATAATGGATGAGATGGTAGTACATAGAGGGATTGTTTCAATTGCTTGGTCGATATTAAATTCTCGTTACGGGAGTAAAGACCCTTTGGTTTTTATTTCTGGGAAACTTATTTGGTATGTCACGTGACCATGGTATAAGGAGGGGAGGAGGCTACTGGAGAGGAGAAGAGATCACTGTAGGAGGGTGAGGGGAAAGATTGGGAGAAGGGGGAAGAGGGAGGGACAAAAAGGGAAGGGAAGGAGGGAGAGGGCGCCGTAGGGGACTGGGTGAAATATGTACAGAGCCCCAGGGGAAGATAAGGAAGAGAGCGGAAAGAGACGTAGGGAACTGAATATAGGTGGAGAGGGAATCGGTGATGTCACGTCACCTATATTTTGTCGCAAAATTTAGCGGAAAAACTAAATTGCTGTATTGGTCACCTGTCCTTATTTCCCCGACCATTATTAGCAAAAATACATAATTGTTTTAAAAGTTACGTGACGTTAGTTTCTCCACTTGCTGTATATCTCACGTGAAGTTAGGTGACGAGGCGTCAATGTCCCCGCTAAATAGCGCGAAAGAAGCGCGAACGGGCGGACGAACGGACGAAATTTGGGATTGTGTGATCCGTTAAAAAGCCGTTCAAGCTTTAAAAAAGGTTGCGTCAGTTTATGCGGTGATTAGTGACTCACCGCCATTAGGGAGTTTTCGTATACCGCGTTTCCCCTTCCGTTAAAGGGGCCCTGCAAGCACTTTTGTACTGGTTTTTAATTTGCACCGAACCTGAGCGCACTGACCGTAGTAACTTAATGAAACTTTTTTTCTCGAATTTCGCTTTATTTTAAAAGTTATAGGCAAATTAAAATTACAAAAACAAGCAAAAAATAACCTCCGTCATGACGTCCTTGGTTGCTTGAGAGGCCGTGAACTAGAGGAGGGATAGTGAGCTCAGCGAGCGTTCACGGCTGCCGCACTCCGTGTCGATGGCGCGAGAGAGCGCCACTAAAGCGTGTTCTGGATAGGCTGTATACAGCGGGCAGCCAGAGCGGCTCTCATTGCATTTGCTGGGCGATTAAAGACTAATTCGGCATGACACTTCATTGGCCGCAAACGCAAACACGGGGTAAAGACCAGTTCAAAATGGGAGCCACTTCGCGGTGTCCTACCGCGAAACGGCCAAAACGCAAGACAAAGCTGCTCGCTGAAGGCCTTCGGAACGCTCGGAGCCGGTCGGATCCTCCAGTCCGTAAACAACCGCAGCGCCGCCACGTACATCCGGGACCTTTCCGTATCGGCGCCTGATCCCACTACTCCCGGGGGATGGCATCACGTGATTTTTTTTAAGCCTAGTCACAAGAAAAAGTCGGCCCGGATGTGCGCCGGTTGGCGGTGTACTATAAAATTCTGCCTCGTTCGGTGGGATTTAAGAGTTATGGAGCCGTCGAAACTGACGGGCGGAATTAAGACGGCGAGTGGTCCTGCCTGCATCTATTCTCGTATCCCTGTTGTTTTGGCGACGACATCAAAGGTGTAGTTTCTGTCGAAGAGTCACCTTGCGAAGTGTTTGCGATCGCGGCGGTCGCGCTTGATTGTGTGGACGAATCGTGCTGGTGTTTCCTAACCGCGATGGGATTGTGTAGTGTACGAAATTGCAGTAATCGGTCCGAGCGGCCGAAGAAGTCGCCCACTGGTGTTTCGTTTCATCGGTGAGTGCGTTCACCCTTTGCTCATAAAACGCTTCATTGGCAAAGACATCTTTAGTTCATAAAATGACCACATGCTTGAGAATGAACCTATGGAGAACCAGGCCTATATGCGGTCTGTTGCACAGAAGTACCTGGACATCAGACAGCGAAGCATAAGCTCGGTATCCACAGATGAACTACACCAACAGAAAGTAAGGCGAAGGCACACCGAACTCGCACATTTCAAAGGCCAGTAGTTAGATATATAAGCCAGATCAAACAGATTGCCATGTCTTCTGTCAATCTTGTAATTATTTAGTCCGTCTGAAAGGGGTACCGTAACTATTTTATAAGTCAATGTTGTGTTGCAAATCTATTGCTATGCGGTAAATAGGTGTTGTATATATTGTTTTAATTTTCGATGATTCTAATGTAAATAAAACACGTGAATTAAGACACTTCGAGACAAGTGGTGCTAGGCTTTACTCGCGGTGACAAAATAAAGCTGCCAGCAAGGTAAGTTGATAGCCCACGAGCACAGCAGGAGGGGTATAGGTTTACAATGATTCGTTTTCATTCCTGTGTTGGATCTTCCGAATTTTCGGGCAGACGCCTCGCATCGCTAAATCCTTTCTTGTTGCCGAAGACATCGGGATGACAACGTCTGCTCTTGTGCGTTTTCGCAAAAAAATAAAATAAAATATATATATATATATATGTATATATATATGTATATATATATATATATATATATATATATTTATGAATAAGTCAGAGATCCGGCTTCGTCAGGAGATGGCATGCCATCTCCTTACGAAGCTGAGCCTCTCGGCGAAACTGTCGAAATATATGCAATAAACTCCTAGCATAGCAACTCCGCAAGTACGGATCTCTGACTTATTACATTTTCCCGGCCCATTGTTCTCAAGCTACTCTGCCTCACCTATATTTATATATATATATATAAATATCTTTTTTTTTTTTAGAAGCTTGGAAGAGAACGCTAAAGCTCACGGAAGGACCGCTGCCAAAGACCGGCTTGCTCGAATGCGGCGTCTCAGCTGAGACCGACTTAGAAAAAGCGCTCTCAAGGTTGGAGCGCGCGAGCGCGTAAGACGCGATTTAAGATTGAGCACTACCTTTGACAGCGCTTTCTTGAGAGTCTCTGCTGAGACGCTGCTTGGAGCGAGCCGCTCGACTTACTGTATGAAGCGTCCTAGAGATTCACCAACGACGTGGGTGCACCGCGAAGAAGTGCTGTAGTTCTGAAATTCCACAGTTCATGCTCTATTCGTAGCGGTCGAGAATTGCAAGGCAAAAGAACAACAAGCAGACGCTACAAATACGACACCCACCACCTCCGCGCTCACTGCCTACTCCGTAAACACGAGGCAAAAGAACGGCAAGCAGACGCTACAGATCCGACACCCACCGCTTCCGCAGTCACTGCCGACTCCGTAAATACAAGGCAAACGACAAGCAGACGCTTCAAATCCGACACCCACCACCTCCGCGCTCACTGCCAACTCCGTAAATACAAGGCAAAAAGACAAGCAGACGCTACAAATCCGACACCCACCGCTTCCGCGCTCACTGCCTATTCCGTAAATTGAACATACTACAGCTCACCATAATAGCGCCTCTACTAGAACCTACCAGAAAAGGTCACGTGGCGGGGCCGACTCGTCCCGAGATGCATACCGTTTCCGGAAAAAAATGTGAGGAAAGTAGGGGGAGGGGCGGCTTCAGGAGAAGTTGCCTTGCAGGGGGTTAAAGGTGGGTGAGGATGAGTGGCAAATCCCGTGCGCCGACATCCTGGGTCCCGAGTGAAAGATCGCGAAAGAGAGCGACAGACCACGAGAGAAGGTAACCAATGTTGCCAGCTGAAGGACGTTAGTCGCAATGGTAATCGCGAAGACTGAAAACTCTCAGCAATATAAACAGTGATAATTTAGTGTTGTAAACTGAATTCTGAGCTATTCTAACGCTTATAAAAAGCAGTATACTCATTACGTAGCATTAACTTCCCTTCTGTTGAAATCTAGGAAATCTGGTGTTTGCTCGGTTTCGTATTCCTGCACTCTTAGAAAAAGGGGTATGGATAGTTCTCTCTTAGGGGAGGAACGGTCTTGTAACCTATGTTCCTTTAGAAAGGGAGAAACTTTCGTCCCTGAAGCAGGGGATCAAAGTTCCTCCGTCGCCTGCATCTCAATATGGCGGCCCCGATTCGAGCGAATCGAGCCCAATAAGGCTTGACAAGGACGCTACGTCTCTTGTGCGGGACGAGAGCAGCAGCAAATAAAAGCGTAACACGAGCTTT